TTTTTGGAAAAAAGATATAAATGCAAGATAATTTCCTCTGAATCAAAACAAATGATAAAAAACTTACAATAAAAAAACATGAGAATTAATTATTATTATATATTAATATTAATAAAAAACGGCAAGTCACCAAAAATATATTTTTCAATTAAATAAAAAAACGGCAGGTCACCGAAAATATATTTTTTGTTAGCATTGATGTTATGTTAATATATTTTCGGTGACAAATTTCGTATATATGTGATAAATATTGATCAACAAAAAAAAACGGCAGAAAAAAACAGCAAACTACACGATTATCAATGGGATCATTTGAAGTCAAGTCTTATATGGGTTCATTTGCCGTTGGCGAAATTTTGGAGTCTGGTGGTATTAGTGAAGTGATTAAGAGTAATAATCCAAAATATAAAGTTGGTGATTTATATTCTGGAGTGGTTGGTGTGTACATATGTTTGTACATATATTTTTTACGTGTATAAATAGTTTTGATTTTATAAAATATTAAAAAAAAAATTTATTATTTTTCATCTAATTAGGACGGGAAGAATATTCGATGATCACGGCAAAAAATGCAAATAAAAATGTAAAGTTTACTGAAAATTTAAATGCTGCCAAAAGTTCGAATATCCCAGTTAGCTATTTTTTAGGTATATTGGGTATGCCTGGTATGACAGCTTATACTGGATTATTTAAAATCGGCCAACCAAAAAAAGGCGAAACGATTTTTGTTTCAGTAAGTAAAAATAAAATAATCAAATATGGCAATTTTTTACAGTTGGTAAACAAACCAATATTAAAATTAGGCGGCAGCGGGTGCAGTAGGTCAAGTTGTTTGTCAAATCTCTAAAATGTTGGGTTTATGTGTTATTGGTAAATATTTGATATCTTTTTTTTTCTTTTAGACTTGAAAATCGAAAATTATATTATTTTTTTATTTTATATAGGATCTGCTAGTAATGATTCCAAAGTTGATTTTCTTTTAAATGAAATGAAACTGGATGGTGCCTTCAACTATAAAAAAATATGATCTCAAAAAGGTGACACTTTTAAATGATAATTAGTTGTGTGTGTGCGTATATACATTAAAACATTTTTTTTGATCAGAAATTGGATGAACTATGTCCAAACGGAATAGATATTTATTGGGATAATGTTGGGTAAATATTTCACAAGTTTTACAATATTTTAAATATTCTTGACAGAAAATAATGAAAATTTCCTCTTTTTTAATATACACTACCTGGACAAAAGTATGTGAACGATGTTTTTTGTTAATTACGCAAAATACTACATAATAACAACACAT